ATGATGCGGGTACAATTCTATTTCTCCCTTGATTCTTCACTCCTAATTATCAGACCTCCTTGGGATGTATTTGATCTCCATGAAAGGATGTCTCATATTGTGGGTCTTCTTGAACTATTTGATTGTCAAGAAGTATTTACCCATATTTTGATCTCTTTGTGAACATTCAATAAATTTATGAAATTTTCCAGATGATCTCCATTTTTTTTAGATGCTTTTTAAGGGAATATGTTACCCTTTTTATATGAGTAACCTAGGGTTAGGATAGAGTAGTCACCAAGTAACCCTAATGTACTCGAGCTTTTGACAAAGTTAGCCGCTCGGCAAAAACTATATACAACCGCCTAACCCACAATTGCATATTACAACTTGTATCCAAAAATAAATAAATTATGTTAACTAGCATATCTGTGCCGTCCGCCCTTCCTAGTTGCCAAAGTCCTAAATTTGGCGATAGATCGCCACTTCTCTAGCATTCATTTATTGATTCTCCTTCTTGCACTAAGCAATTTCTTATATCGGATTATCGTGTCCATTGGAAAGTTTCGATTGTACTTTTTTTTTGTGAAATTGAAGAAATCATGAGTTTCGCAAAGAAAGAGTATGAGTTTCTGAAGGAGATCGGAATTGGCCCTAAAACTCTACGTTGTTTTGTCAATGGCACCTGGAAAGCTAGTGGCTCCGTCATCTCCACTGTTAATCCCGCCAACAATCAGGTTCTTAATTTTTAACGATTTTATGTTTTTTTTTTAAAATATTTAAATTATACTACTGGTTAATTTAAAGTTCTTTTTGTGGATACAGACTATTGTTGAAGTTGTAGAAGCTTCTGCCCAAGATTATGAGGTAGGCATGCAAGCTTGCTCTGAAGCAGCAAAGATAATTTGGTTCAAAATTCACCTGCTAAAGTAACATTTATGATCTTGATGAGGGGGGTTTTATTCTTCTTAGTTTCTGCCGCTAGAAAGGATCCTAGAAATCCTTTTCCTTGTAACCTCTTTCTTTTATGTGTATTATTAAGGAACAATTGTAGTTTGGTTTAGAACAAATATCTTGTATACAGTTTTAAATAATTTAATTTCAGGTCCATCATTAGTATATATTTACATGGATATTTATATATTTCTTTTGGTGAAAATAGATTTAAATATTGTTATATTACAAAATATATACAAAATAGACTGTCACTTTACAAAATATATACAAAATAGACTGTCATTATACAAAACATATACTAAATAGACTGTTACTATACAAAATATATATAAAATAGACTGTCACTATACAAAAAATATACTAAATATACTGTCACTATACAATTTATATACAATAGACTGTCACTATACAAAATATATACAAAATAGACTGTCACTATACAAAATATATACTAAATAGACCGTCACTATATAAAATATATACAAAATAGACAGTAACTATACAAAAAATATACAAAATAGACATTTCGGGCTATTAGATGTAATATGTTTGAGCCGGAGGGACATTTTATGTCAATGGAAAAAATTATGGGTTATTAAAAATTTGAGAGGTTATAGAGGGTAATTTACCCAATGTACTTTGGACTTGGATAACATAAATGGATTTGTTTGTAGGTGCCCAATTTAACGTTCTAGCCCAAATATAATTGAAGTCTTAATACGTGAGATTGGGTGCTCAAATGATATATTTGTATGAATTATTAGTTATTCTATATAAATATTAATAGTAGTGTGTGGCTCCAAAATCAATGCGGAACGGATTATAAGGATAAAATTCAGAAATAACTACTTTTGTAGTCAATTGAAAAATAATTATTGTCATAGAATTTTAAATGCAAATAAAACTTCTATTTTTTAATTACAGGACTGACAAATAACTAGCCCGTACTAATACTATAGGTTACAATCTATGCTAGGAGGAGCGGGAGAATATGAACGCAAGGCGAGTGAAAACTATTTTTTTTTTAAAAAACAAAAAGGTTCAGAGTGGTGCAGGGCGAATTGCGGGTTAAATGTTTTTTGAGACTTAAACCCATATATAGCGGTCAGAAGCAATTAACAAATGGCAACGCTTTCGTCTTCGATCCTTAGCTGCTTTCCATTTCTTTTCTAAGAGAAGAGAGATTTAGGATTTGTTAATTTTATTTCCAAGATTTTTCATGCAGTCTGAAAAACTGCTATTAAAGAATTTATTTGACATTGTATTTTCTTTTTCTTTTCTATTTTTCGCTTGGTGAGAGGGGGAGAAGGGGGTGGGAGGTAGGGGTGTTTATCGGGAGGATAGTCACGCTTAACGGTTTGGCTTATCGGTTATCAGATTATAAATATAATAATTCATTAGTCATCCAATAAGACAATGAGCGGATTGATATCGGATTAATGATTATCGGGCGGTTATTGGACGGTTTATCGACTAAACCAAATAAATTTTTTTTGAACAATTAATACCAAACGGGTGAAGAATAAAAATAGAAAATCTACCTTGACTCTACTCTCAAGCGAAAAAGACTACCGTTTCGAGGAAAGATTCTTCCTTGAATCCATCGAGAGATTGCGATATGCTTACTGTTCTTATATCATTCGATCCATCAAACACCTTTGTCTCTTTTTTTAAATCTGTATCTTAGGGCTTGTAGTTAATCAAAATCAATTGGAAAACAATGTTCATGGTTGATTGGTTCTATGGAGTTCTCGCATCGCTTGCTTTGTGGCAGAAAGAGGTTAAGATCTTGTTTATAGGCCTTAATAATGCCGGCAAAACTATCACAGCAGACTTTATCGCTAGAGAGTAGAGTCAACTACTACAGCGTTTCAATAGCACTTTATATACATAAGAGTAAAAGTGTAAATATAAAACTTCTTAACGGGTTAACGGTTTACCCGATAAGAAAATTGAGTAATCCGCACCCAAACCGTTAAGTCGTTAATTATAAAATCTTAATCTGTTCATCATCCATTACCCCGATAATCCGATATCAATAAACCAATAAGTCATCGGTTCGATTCGGTTAACGGTTTCAGTTCGGTTTTAAACAGCCCTAGTGGTAGGTGGGGTTATTATTTATAGCTAATCTTACATATAGGGTAAGGTTGTCCAATGGGACGGGTCGTCCCGTCCCGTCCTACTTAATTCTAAACGGGATGGGCCCATGTTAAACGGGACACGGGATGAGACGAGATGGCCATTTCGTCCCGTTTGTCC